ACTCGCCACCACATCCGGCTAATTTTTGTATTTTTAGTTGAGATGGGGTTTCACCATGTTGGCCAGGCTGGTCTTGAACTTCTGACCTCAAGTGATCCACCTGCCTCAGCCTCCCAAAGTGCTGGGATTATAGGCTTGAGCCACTGCACCCAGCCCATAGTAGGTGTATGCCTTTATGAGGTATGTGAGATATTTTGGTACAGGTATGAGATTATTTGGTAATAGTCACATCATGGAAAATTGGATATACCATCCTCTCAAGCATGTATCCTTTGTATTACAAGCAATCCATTATACTCTATTAGTTACTTTAAATGTACAATTAAATTATTATTAAACTATAATAATTCTGTTGTGCTATCAAATACTAGGCCTTTTTCATTCATTCTTTTTTGTTTTTGTTTTTGTTTGTTTGTTTTTTGAGACGAAGTCTTGCTCTGTTGCCCAGGCTGGAGGGCAGTGGTGTGGTCTCAGCTCACTGCAACCTCCGCCTCCCAGGTTCAAGCAATTCTCCTGCCTCAGCCTCCCGAGTAGCTGGGATTACAGGTACACACCACCATCCCTGGCTGATTTTTTTTGCAATCTCCGTCTTCTGAGTTCAAGCAATTCTCCTGCGTCCGTCTCCCAAGTAGCTGGGATAACAGGCGTGTGCCACCACACCTGGCTGATTTTTGTATTTTTAATAGAGACAGGGTTTCACTATATTGGCTAGGCTGGTCTCGAACTCCCGACTGGTCTCGAACTCCTGACCTCAGGTGATCCACCTGCCTTGGCCTCCCAAAGTGCTGGGATTACAGGTGTGAGCCACCATGCCTGGCCCTGGCTGATTTTTGTATTTTTAGTAGAGACGGGATTTCACCATGTTGGCCAGGCTGGTCTCAAACTCTTGACCTCAAGTGATCTGCCGACCTCGGCCTCAAAATGCTGGGATTACAGGCATGAGCCATGATGCCCTGCCTTTTTTATTCTTTCTATTTTTTTTTTTTTTCGTACCATCCCCACCTTCCCCCATCCCCCACTACCCTTCCCAGCCTCTGGTAACCATTCTTCTATTCTCTGTGAGTTTAATTGTTTTGACTTTCAGATCCTACAAATAAGTGAGACTATGTGATGCTTGTCTTTCTGTGCCTGGCTCATTTCACTTAACCCAATGACCTCCAGTTCCATCCATGTTGTTTCAAGTTCCGTTTTTTTTAATGGCAGAATAGTACTCCATTGTGTATAAATAACACATTTTCTTTATCCATTCATCTGTTGATGGACACTTAGGTTGCTTCAAAATCTTGGTTATTGCGAACAGTGCTGCAACAAACATGAGAGTGCTGATATATCTTCGATGTACTGATTTTCTTTCTTTTGGATATATACCCAGCAGTGAGATTGCTGGATCATGTAGTAGCTCTTTGTTTGGTGTTTTGAGGAACCTCCAAACTGATCTCCATAGTGGTTGTGCTAATTTACATTCCCACCAATAGAGTATTGAGGGTTCCCTTTTCTCTGCATCCTCAGCAGTGTTTGTTATTCCCTCTCTGGATAAAAGCCATTTTAACTGGGGTGAGATGATACTTCATTGTAGTTTTGATTTGCATTTCTCTGATGATCAATGATGTGGAGCACTTTTTCATGTGCCTGTTTGCCATTGTCTTCTTTTAAGAAATGTTTATTCAAATCTTTTCCCATCTTTTAATCGGATTTATTAGACTTTTTCCCTGTAGAGTTGTTTGAGCTTCTTATATATTCTGATTATTAATCCCTTGTCAGATGAGTAGTTTGCAAATATTTTCTCCCATTCTGTGGGTTGTCTCTTCACTTTGCCAGCTGTTTCCTTTGCTGCACAGAAGCTTTTAAACTTGATGTGATCCCATTTGTTCATTTTTGCTTTGGTTGTCTGTGCTTGTGAAGTATGACTCAAGAAATTTTTGTTCAGACCAATGTCCTGGAGAGTTTCCCCAATGTTTTCTTACAGTACTTTCATAATTTGAGATCTTAGATTTAAGTCTTTAATTTTATTTTTCTATAAGGTGAGATAGGGGTCTAGTCTTATTCTTTTGCATATGGATATCCAGTTTTTCCAGCACCATTTAATGAAGAGATGGTCTTTTCCCCAATGTATGTTCTTGGCACCTTTGTCAAAAATGTGTTCGCTGTAGGTATGTGGATTTGTTTCTGGGTTCTCTGTTTTGTTCCATTGGTCTATGTGTTTTTGTGCCCGTACCATGCTGTTTTTGTCTATAGCTTTGTGTGAAGTCAGGTATTGTGATTTCTCTAGTCTTGTTATTTTTACTCAGGAGAGCTTTGGCTGTTTTGGATCTTTTCTGACTCCATGTAAGTTTTAGGATTGCTTTTTCTATTTCTGTGAAGAATGGCATTGTGATTTTTGTGGGGATTGCATTGAATCTGTAGATTGCTTTGGATAGTATGAGCATTTTAACAATATTGATTCTTCCAATACATGAATATGGAATAGCTTTTCATTTTTGTGTTTGTGCCCTCTTTAGTTTCTTTCACCAATGTTTTGTAGTTTCTGTTGTAAAGGTCTTTCAGTTTTTTTTTTTTTTTTTTTTTTTTTTTTCTGAGATGGAGTCTTGCTCTGTTGCCAGGCTGGAGTGCAGTGGCACGATCTCAACTCACTGCAACCTCTGCCTCCCGGGTTCAAGTGATTTCCCTGCCTCAGCCTCCCAAGTAGCTGGTGCTACAGGTGCATGCCACCACACCCCACTAATTTTTGTATTTTTTGTAGAGATGGGGTTTCACCATGTTGGCCAGGATGGTCTCGATTTCTTGACTTCATCATCCTCCTGCCTTGGCTTCCCAAAGTGCTGGGATTACAGGCGTGCGCCACTATGCCCGGCCATCTTTCACTTCTTTGGTTCATTCCTAGGTATTTGATTTTATTTGTGGCTGTTGTAAATGGGATTACTTTTTAAATTTGTTTTTTATATTGTTTACTGCTGGCATATAGAAATGCTACTGATTTTTGTTATGTTGATTTTGTGTTCTGCAACTTTGCTGAATTTGTTTATCAGTTCTAATAGTTTTCCTTTTTTTTTTTTTTTTTTTTTAAATTGGGTATGGTGTCATTTGCCTATAGTCCCAGCTACTGGGGAGGCTGGGGTGGGGTGTGGAAGTATCTTTCTCTTTTTTTTTTTTTTTTTTTTTGAGACGGAGTCTCGCTTCGTCGCCCAGGCTGGAGTGCAGTGGCGCAATCTCGGCTCACTGCAAGCTCCGCCTCCTGGGTTCACGCCATTCTCCTGCCTCAGCCTCCCGAGTAGCTGGGACTACAGGCGCCCACCACTGCGCCCGGCTAATTTTTTCTATTTTTAGTAGAGACAGGGTTTCACCATGGTCTCGATCTCCTGACCTTGTGATCCGCCCGCCTCGGCCTCCCAAAGTGCTGGGATTACAGGCGTGAGCCACCGCGCCCGGCCTCTTTTTTTTTTTTTTTTTTTGAGATAAGGTCTCGCTCTGTTGCCCAGGCTGGAGTGCAGTGGCAAGATCTTGGCCCACTGCAGCCTCTGCCTCCCAGGCTCAAGTGATCCTTCTGCCTCAACTTCCTGAGTAGCTGGGGCTACAGGCACATGCCACCACGCCTGGCTAATTTTTGTATTTTTTGTAGAGATGGGATTTTGCCATGTTGCTGAGGCTGGTCCTGAACTCCTGGACTCAAGGGATCCACCTGGCTCAGCCTCCCAAAGTGCTAGGATTACATGTGTGAGCCCCTATGCCCAGCCCTCTTGTGGAATCTTTAGGTTTTTCCAAATATAAGCTCGTATCACCTGCAAACAAGGATAATTTGACTGTTTCCTTTTCCTTTCCAATTTGGAAGCCCTTTATTTCTTTCTCATCTGATTGCTTTAGCTCAGACATCTAGTACTATGTTGAATAACAATGGTGAAAGTGGGCATATTGTCATGTCCAGATCTAAGAGGAAAGGCTTTCTGTTTTCCCCCATTTTGTATGATACTAGTTGTGGGTCTGTCATATATAGTTTTTATTATGTTGAGGTCTGCTATTTCTATACCTAGTTTTTTGAGGGTTTTTATTATGAAGGGATATTGAACTTTATCAGATAATTTTTTGGCATCAATTGAAATTATTATATGGTTTTTGTCCTTCAAAGAATGGAGTTTTAATTTTTAGGCAATTTCATTTAAAGTGACTTTTTTAAACCTTGATATCAAATATATAATATATGTTTGCATTATATATATAATGCAAATACATGAGCAGTTCTGTCTATTGATGTATTTTCTAAAAAGGCTAATCTTATTACACAGTGTTTAATTCTTTTTTTCTTTTTTTTTTGAGATAGTCTCGCTCTGTCATCCAGGCTGAAGTGCAGTGGTGTGATCTTGGCTAACTGTAACTTCCACCTCCCTGGTTCAAGTGATTCTCCTGCCTCACCCTCTGAGTAGTTGGGCTTACAGGTGCCCATTAGCATGCCTGGGTAATTTTTGTATTTTTGTATTTTTAGTAGAGTTGGGGTTTCACCATGTTGGCCAGGCTGATCTCAAACTCCTGACCTCAAGTGGCCTCCCAAAGTGCTAGGATTACAGGCATGAGCCACTGAGCCCGTCCAAGTTATTTACTAAGAATTTTTATTATACATTGAGAAAAGGAGAGATTTTTTTTTTCCTAGTAGAATGCTATATATTCAAGTTTTAAATGCTTTTACGTATCTAATCTTCTTATGTTGGGTTATTGGTTTCGAATTTTGGAAGCGATACCTTCCAAATACTTTTATTGCCTCTTATAACAGTTTAAAGCTAATTTGATTGAATACCTTTTGATCTTCTTTCTGTAGCTGTTAATTTTTTTCTTTTATTAAAATTAAAATACAATGTGTGTAGGACCTGAAGAGAAATCACTTTTGGTCTATTTTTCTTTTTGCTCCTTTTTTTGTTTTTAATCAGTAGAAAGCTTCATTTGCCAGGCTAAACGATAAACTAACATCATGATTTAGGCTAAGTTAAAAAACTAATATCATCTTTTTCTTTCAGATCTCTATAAAAATGGACTCCAAAGAGCTAACTTTGTACCATTCATAGCAGTCTTGAAGGTAAAAACAAATCTTTTATTTGTGTTTACTAAGATCATACTTATTGATAATCAAGGGCTTTAGTAGGATTGCCTTGGTCTTGGCATTCAAGGATTGGCATTTAGATAGTAATAGTCAGGGGCCAGGCACAGTGGCTCACACCTGTAATCCCAGCACTTTGGGAGGCCAAGGTGGGCGGATCACAAGATCAGGAGTTCAAAACCAGCCGGACCAACATGGTGAAACCCCATCTCTACTAAAGATACAAAAATTAGCTGGGTGTGGTGGCATGCACCTGTAATCCCAGCTACTGGGGAGGCTGAGGCAGGAGAATCATTTAAACCCTAGAGGCGGAGGTTGCAGTGAGCCAAGATCACACCACTGCACTTCAGCCTCGGTGACAGGGTAAGACTCCGTCTCAAAAAAAAAAAAAAGAGACTAGCCAGGACAACACGGCAAAACCTCTTCTCTAGATAGTAATAGTCAAAGACACTAAAGGAGAAAGGAATCTTTTGATATAGTATTCATCCATGCGTACACTGAAAAAATTACAAAATATAGTCTAAATTATTCTCTAACTGAAACACTGAATAGTTTGCATTTTATAAATTTTAATTTGAGGTTTGCTCATAAATATTATAGTGGAATGTTTAAACTTATACATTTATTTCTGAAAAAAATGTTTAATGTTCCCTGTTTCCTTCAGGTTAATGGCCATTATTAACATGTTTTCCCAGCTATTAAAGTTGCTATTCTAGAATAGCATTATTACAAAAATATTCTAATATATTTAAATGTGATTGCCATCAAGTTATGAAATTATGTCAAGTTGAGGCACATAAATAGTTTAAATATTTGTGTGTATCAGCACTGCATAGAGTTTAAAATAGTCTTCATTAAAATATGATTAAGAATAAAATAGCCTCCTTTTTTACTATTAATTTTAAGTAATATTTTACATGATTATTTAATGATTTCACATTCTGCCAATATTTGTTGAGAACCTACTATGTACAATGTGTGGCGTTAGGCATAATGGATAATAGAATTGTGAACTAAGCTGTTTTTCTGGCACATTATTTATAATCTGGTTGACGACGTGACATATATACAAAAAAGCAAAATTTGCCAAAATATTCCCATAATTTTAGATAAATACTTTTTCCCCATGCACATCAACGTATCTGAAAAAAGGATAAAGTATTTTTAAAAAATTGAAAGCTTAAAAATTCTTACCCAAGAAGGGTTAAAATATTTTATCTTCAGACATTCTAAAGGCATAATCAGACAATCTTTTTGACGTGTACTTTGGTTGGAATTATTGTTGGTGCCAAACTTTATTCCCTATGCTATACTTAGGAGAATTCAGACATCTGTTTCCTTGACCAATTTTAGGTTCCTAAGGATTTTAATTTCTCGGAGATATTTATAGATGTAGGAAAAGTACTTTTGGAAGATTTATGCTGTTAGTAATTTTTTCCCTTTATATTCATGCTTTGCATTTAGGGAGAACATAGACTTGCAATGTTTTCTCCATGCTAGGAATCCAAAGTAATATGGTATACACAGATACCAAAATATAAAGAGGAAGCTAGGAAAAACAGGTGCTAAAAATAGTGTCTTCATATAGCATAAAATTCACAAAATACAAAAAGAGAAGTCTCAGAAAGAAACAAGTTAAGAGGTTCCGAGGGAACAACTTTGTAGCTGTACTTTTTTTTTTTTTCCTCCAAATATTTTGTTGTTGTTTTATTTGGCCAGTAATTTGTCATACTTCAATATATAATAGCAGTATTAATAGGCAAAATGAATAGTATACAATTTGAAATTGAACATGAACTGAGATATATAATATACAATTTAAAGTTGAACATGGACTGAACTTCCCAGGAAACTAAATATCAGATTAGTTGAGAAAAGGTCTAAAATGTCTAATTTATTCAAGAGACTTTTCATATATAACAAAACATCAATGAAATGAAAACTAGAGCTAGTTTCTCTGAAGCTTTTCTGTTTGGGCATATAAAGTTTCTTTTGTAAGGAAGGGTAGTTTAATATTAACTTAAGTGACATTTTGCCTCTTCACAGCTGCTAGTGTTACTTCTTCATTCTGGCCCAGCTGAGAGAAAGGTGTAGCAGAAGTCAATCTTAAAACAAATTGAGAATCTTAGTTTCATGAAAAGAAATTATTATAAACAAGATAGAAATTTGTTGAGGAAAAAGTACATTGTAAAATTCATTTTTAAAAATGTTCTTCTCTATAAACCAAATAGTTACAAGTTCATAATTCACCACAAAAGCTTGTGGTTTGTTGCTTGGGATATTGAAAGATAACAAAAACTAAACTACGCTCTTAGTAAAGCCTGCTTTATGGCCCAACATGTGGACAATTTTTGTAAATATTTTCTTTAAAATATTTCTTCAAAATAGTGAGTATTCTTCAGTTGTTGTGTGTTATTGTGTAGGTTTGTTAATTATGCTGTTCAAGGCCGGGCGCGGTGGCTCACGCCTGTAATCCCAGCACTTTGGGAGGCCGAGGCGGGCGGATCACAAGGTCAGGAGATCGAGACCATGGTGAAACCCCGTCTCTACTAAAAATAGAAAAAAATTAGGCGGGCGCAGTGGCGGGCGCCTGTAGTCCCAGCTACTCGGGAGGCTGAGGTAGGAGAATGGCGTGAACCCGGGAGGCGGAGCTTGCAGTGAGCCGAGATTGCGCCACTGCACTCCAGCCTGGGCGACAGAGCGAGACTCCGTCTCAAAAAAAAAAAAAAAAAATTATGCTGTTCAAATCTTTATTCTCATATTTTTTTCCTATCAATTACTGAGAGACTTATGGGAAACGTCTCACTACAATTGTGAATTTGTCTATTTTTCTTGTAATTCTGTCATTTGCCTTACATATTTGGAGGCTATGTTATAAGTTGCATACAGATTTATAATAATTATTTTATTTATTTATTTGCTTATTTATTTTGAGACAGAATCTTGCTCTGTCACCCAGGCTAGAGTGCAGTGGTACAATATTGGCTCACTGCAACATCTGCCTCCCAGGTTCAAGCGTTTTCCTGCCTTAGCCTCCTGAAAAGCTGGGACTACAAGTGCATGCCACCACACCAGACTAATTTTTATATTTTTAGTAAAGATGGGGTTTCAGCATGTTTGCCAGGCTAGTCTCAAACTCCTGACCTCAAGGGATCTGCCTGCCTTGGCCTCCCAAAGTGCTGGGAGTACAGGTGTTAGCCACCACACCTGGCCAGATTTACAATAGTTAAATACTGCTTGTGAATGGAACTTTTAAATATTATTTAGTAGCATTGCCCCTTCTTTTCAAGTGTATTTATAACCATCTCTTGAAACATTGTTATCATGAGTGCTTTAAAACCTTTATCAGATAATTCTAACGTCTTTTTCATCTTGATGTTGCCATTTCTTTACATTCAGTTTGAGATCTTCTTGATTTTTTTGTATAAGTGATTTCCAATGGAAACTGACATTTTCATAATTTGTCATTAGACTTTGAATCTTAACGTTTTAACCAAACTTTTTATTGTGGCAAAATATACATAACAAAACTTACTATTTTAATGATTTAGTTATTTACATTTTGAGACAGGGTCTCACTCTGTTGCCCAGGCTGGAGTGCAGTGGCACAATCATAGCTTACTACAGCCTCGACCTCCCCAGGCTCAGGTGATCCTCCTGCCCCAGCCTCCTGAGTAGCTGGGACTGCAGGCGTATTCCACCATGCCCAGCTAATTTTTTTATTTTTTGTAGAGACAGGGATTCACTATGTTTCCTAGGCTGGTCTCAAACTCCTGGGCTCAAGTGATTTGCCTGCCTCCACCTCCCAAAGTGTTGGGATTAAAGGCAAGAGTCACCACACCTGCCTATTTTAATGATTTTTAAGTGTGCAGTTCCGTGGCATTAAGTACATTCACATTGTTTTACAAGCACCACCATGATTCATCTCCAGAATTTTTCATCTTATCAAACTGAAACTCTGTACTCACTAAATAATAACCACCCGTTATCCCCCTTTCCCAACCCTACTTACCACCGTTCTGCTTTCTGCCTCTGTGAATTTGTCTTTTCTAGATACTTCATGTAAGTGGAATTACCTAATATTTGTCTTTTTCTTTCTGGCTTATTTCACTTAGCATAGTGTCTCCAAGGTTTATGCATGTTGTAACGTGTGTCAGAATTCTTATCCTTTTTATGGCATAATAATATTCGATTGTAAGGATATGCTACATTTTGTTTATCCATTCACCTGTCAATGGATATTTGGGTTGTTTCTACCTTTCAGCTATTATGAATATTGCTGCTTCGAACATTTGTGTACAAATATCTGTTTGAGTCCCTGCTTTCAATTCTTTTGTGTACATACCTAGAACTGAAATTGCTAGATCTTATGGTAATTATATGTTTAACTTCTTAAGGAACTGCCATACTGTTTTCTATAGTGGCTATAGCATATTACGTTCCCATCAACAATACACAAGCATTCCAATTTCTCTGCATTTTCCCCAACATTTTCTTTTTCCTTTTTTTTTTTTTTTGGTAATAGCCATCCCAGTGGGTGTGAAGTGGTATCTCATTGTGGTTTTTATTTGCTTTTCCCAAATGATTAATGATATTTTGTATCTTTTCATATGCTTATTTTATTGATTGACTGATTGATTGATTGAAATAGAGTCTTGCTCTGTCACTCAGGCTGGAGTGCAGTGGCATGATCTTGGCTCGCTGCAACATCTGCCTCCTAGGTTCAAGTAATTCTCATTCCTCAGCCTCCCGAGTAGCTGGGATTACAGGCATGTGCCACCATGCCCAGCTACTTTTTGTATTTTTGGTAGAGATGGGGTTTCACCATGTTGGCCAGGCTGGTCTTGAACTCCTGACCTCAGGTGATCCGCCCACCTCAGCCTCCCAAAATGCTGAGATTACAGGTGTGAGCCATTGCGCCTGGCCTTATCTTCTCTTTTTTCAGATTGGGCAACATCTCATTCTATAAAATAGATTGT